TATTTCCTATTCTATTCTGTTAATTTTGATCCTCTCTATTTAAAAATTGTGATGCTAAGTAAAATAAATCTGACAGAGAAAGACAAATACTACGCGATCTCTCTTATATGTGAAATCTAAAACACAAAACAAAATTAGCTCGCAGATACAGAGAACAGATTGGTGGTTATCAGAGGTAAGGGGTGGAAGAAAAGAATGAACTGAGGGTTTGGGGTTAAAATAGATTAACTAAAAGTAAAAAAAAAAAAAAAAAACCACAATAAAATGTGCATTGATACTCATTAAATTGATTACACAACCTAATACTTTGAACTGTGTTTGAAAAGCATCTGTGTAATAATGTTTACGTTAGTCCTAACACCAGGCTAAGCACTTAACGGGTGCTTACAACAGATTTCATGGATTAATCAAAGTCCCTAAGGAAATAATATATATAAAAGTTTTACATATCCAAAACAGCAGGCAGTCATAACCAGGCAAAAGAAAAACATCAAGATTAAGCTTCACATTCTTTAGACACCGAAGTAGAAAGGTTAAAAAAACCAAAAAACAAAAAACATAAAACTCAGTTCAAATTATAGCAACAGAAATGAATACACAGAGGGTTTCCTTTTCTTAGAATTAGGGATCCTCAGATTACCTCTCTATTCTTAGATGTCCCAAGAAAGATGACAATCCAATTTATTCAGAATACTAATTGTGTTCCTAAGATTGCATTCTTCCTTCTTCCTTTGGAAATAACCAGTGGGCCAAGATTTTTTTGTGAAACACAGTGAAAGAGCTATTTCCCAAATTTCAATAATCAAAATAGCATTCGAAATCTAAGCTCTCTTAATCAATTTACAGGTGCACTCTGATGTACGATTCAAAGTTTATCAAACTAGCCTCTCCGGAAATGTTTTGCTTAGTAGAAGAGAATTTTTATGATGGGGGTGGGGAGGAGATACGGGTAAAACAAATGGGCTTAGAGAAGAAACTAAATTTAGGGGCACCTGGGTGGCTCAGTCAATTAAGTGTCTGACTCCTGATTTCGGTTCAGGTCTTGATCTCAGGATTCGTGAGTGCGAGCCGGTGTCCAAGCACTACTTGGGATTCTCTCTCTTCTCTCTCTGCCCCTTCCCCACTTGTGTACTCTCTCTCAAAATAAATAGACATCAAAAAAAAAAAAAATAAGCTGAGTTTATAGCTATGACCTGAGATAAGACCCAGTTCAAAGATAAAGGAACCTCAAATATTAATTGCTCCGTAGTTTCTCGTGCTGAGAAAAAGATCCTTATTACACCTTTATGTTCATCTCTCCCCACCATATATCCCTACCTACACACCTTCTTTACAAGCTGGTATTACAACGATCTCTAAGAGGTGCTTAGAGAACCAGTCAAGACTGGTGGAAATCTTGTGAAATATTAGCAAAGATACAGAGGCCCCGTTTTCAATTGGTTACCCATGGTTTTATGTTAGAACCCAGAACGGAGGATATCTTTATGAATTCTCTGGGGCCCAAAGCAGAAATGTTTTGGACACAGTAACACTCTGATTCAATTATGGATATAGTTCTTCATTTAAAGGAGAAGTCTGCAACGTAAGAATTCTCAAACTGTCACCCCTCAGGGTTCTATATGATGTTCTACAAAAATACATTGCTTCTAGGGGCGCCTGGGTGGCTCAGTCCGTTAAGCGTCTGACTTCACCTCAGGTCATGATCTCATAGCTTGTGAGTTCCAGCCCCGTGTTGGGCTCAGAGCCTGGAGCCTGCTTCGGATTCTGTGTCTCCCTCTCTCCCTCTGCCCCTCCTCCACTCTCTCTCTCTCTCTCTCTTTCTCTCTCACAAATATTTATAGATTTATATTTATAAACATGATAAAAAACCTATGGTCTTCAAAATGTCAGTCAGACTCTCGTAAATAATACTATTTATAAGAAAAATCTCCTCATCCTTAAGGACAACTACCATGCCCTTGCTTTCCGTAAGAAAAGTAAATAAGCATTTTTTTCCAATAAAAGAGAGGAATCGTAATGGCTTTCAGAGCGAAATTACTCAGATTAATTCCATTCAGGAAGCATATGCTTCATAAAACATGTATTCTTAGAGAACCCATGAATCGTGATTATTGCTGAGAGAATTAAATATCCTAGGAAGCACACTGTAAACAACAGTGATACTCAGTCTAGCAAGAGCTTTGGGGTCGCCATATGTAGAAGAAGTGACTGACAGTCATAGAGCAAAACCTATTTGGGAAGGTTTTCGCCCCCCCTGTATCCGTTCAGCAGTATTTGTACGAAGTGAAACATCAGTGCTTTGGGGTGGATGGATGTACTGGAATCTGCTGGGAGAGCTGATGTTCTGGCTAGGCATTTGGAGTTTCCTTTTTTAATATGTAGGAAGTATTTTCGCTCTACAGCATGAATCAAACAATGAACATAATGCTACCAGCTTCTTCAAACAAAGTGAAAGGCATATCATTACACTTTTTTCCTTCACACATATTATAGAAAATTCCTTTTGTTCGAGATATAAAAAAAAAAAATCTTCAGAAGCGGGGGGGGGGGGGGAAGCAAAGACTCCCGTTTAGCTGAAATACCGAAATTGCATGTAATCTCCTAAGGTATGTGGTTATATTTGCTTTCAAGCTTGGCATTTCCATTTGTTGCTTTTAAACCCCAGTATCTTCATTCAATTCTATCACTCGAAGTGTGCCATTAACAACAATAATCAATAGTTTCAGTAGTTGACATTTTTTTCCGTGACATCTCCAAATCTTTCCTCAAAAGACTGTTATCCAGCCATCTAACTGAAAATCAGCGCTGCCTATAAATGTCATTCCTATCCAGAAAATGTAGTTTCAACCTCAGGCAACTGGAATTTATAGAAAGCCCAATATTAACACAGAGGCAACGAGAAAATTGTCTGTTTTAAAATAGTGTTGGAATCTTAGTTAGTCCTATTACAGTTAAGGGGAAAATGATACGTTTAAGATTTGGGGGGATTCTAAGGGAGTTTAATATGGTTTTTAATAATAAATGCCTTTTATGAGTAATATAGCAGAAGCTAAGAAAATGTCCTTCACATAACTTCCAACTGTTTTTGAAAGAGAATTCAGAGAGCTAAATGCAAAATGTAGTTTATTCTCCATTCTTCCATAGTGAATATAGTTGAAAAACATGGCAATTTTTTTCTTTAGTGATTCAGGATCTTGCAGTTTCTCAGAATTTTCATTGTATATTAATGCAGATAAAAATATATAGGAGATACATTGATGTACTTTCGCACAGATCAGACTTGTTCACTAATTTAAGGAGTGTTTTATTAAATATTTATTATAAAATTATCTTTTGGATTATTCTTTATTTTCAGGGGTATCTGCTAAAAAAAATCCACTTAAAGTTTTATTATTTATCTACTGCCGCTGGTGAGAATATGTGAGCCCATGTATTTATTACAGTTCTAGGGTGGGGCACCTGGGTGGCTCAGTCAGTTAAGCTCTGACTCTTGGTTTCAGCTCAGGTCATGATCCCAGAGTCGTGGGATGGAGTCCAGGACTATGGGATTGAGCCCTACGTTAGGCTCCATGTTGGGTGTGGCGCCAGCTTGGGATTCTCTCTCTGTCCTCTTTGTCTCCCCCTCTCTGCCCCTCTCCCCCATTTGTGTTCTCTCTCCCTCTCAAAAAAAATCCTGGGGTGGCTTTATGGGTGTATAAAGGGAGAAATAAAATTTTATTTATGAAATATCATAAGTCAAATAAGTTACAGTAGAAAACTTTCTAACCATTCATCTAAGAGTGACCAAAAAAAAAAAAAAATCTAACTTTGCCTTGTTTTTACATTCTGAAGCCATGGGGGATACCTACAAAGATAAAGTCAGGCGTTGCGCTAAACAAACTACTTCCGATGGTCAAACTAACTCAACACACATTGCAGAGAAGCAAGTGGGGTCTGAGGAGAATGGAATGAACAAATGAGGAATCTGAGACACTATAAATTGCTACTATCATCAACTAAGGAAAGGATACCAAGTAATCTATCAAAACAGAAACCAAAGGAGGACGGGGTGTGGGGGCGGGGGGAGAGAAGGAAAGGGAGAGGAGAAGAAACACTGCTTATTACGATTCGAGGAATTATTTTTCAACCTAGGATATCCTATCCCTTTTCTCATCATAATTTAAATATACAAAAAATGTAGTCCAAAAACTTGATCATAGTATTTTAACACTCTACAGTTTATTTGAGGTAGTAGTAAAGTTCTTACAACAAGTCAGAAAACTCAGCTATACATAACAAAACTCCATTAGAGTTCAGAAAATTCTATCAGGCACTGAGCATAAACTTAAGGAGCCTCCTTGAACTACAGAATGTGACTCTCACCAAGACTACATTTAAACCAAACTACCCTAAACTTCTGTTTTCACTGTCGATGCATATGAAACTTCATAGCAATAATTTTTGTTTCTAGGAAAAACAATGGTCTGAAAATTGTCTGCTCATTAACTAGGACAAATTCACCCATCTCATTTTTCCTTGTACAGATCATGTTAGGAAGAAGGCTACAAAATGCCAGATTAACATTTCAAAATGTATTTGAAAGTAATGAAGGGAAACTGATTTAGTTAGCAACGCTAAATAAAACAGACAATTCATACAGATGCTTTCCCTGTAAAATATTAAATAAACACTCCAAAATGGCAACTTTTTCAATTTAATAAACCAATCTCCCATTTATGTCTCTGAGCAAAGTTTCTCCCTGACCAAAGCTCTGGTTTTAAGTGCGGGTTTTTCCTGGTCCAAAATGTGCACCATTTAGAAGACTGGGATGTTAAATGAAATACTAACTGACTTTTCCTTCTCCCTCTGCCTCGTCTCCTCTTGCCCAAATGCAGAAACACATCAGGCCATGCGAAACGATGATTTCACTTTGTCCCCAGCATATCACTTACAAGAACAGATGCCATTAATTGCTCGTATGGATTATTCACAAGAGGGCCAAGTAGAAAAGCTTTACTTACTTGCCATTGTTTCATCAGCTCTCTTACTCCCTTGGAATCTTCCAGGAGCCTTTCCTTATGGGTGGCATCCTGCAGCACGTTGGCAGTTGTTTCAGCCTCTGTAAGCCAGGCAAGGAATTTCTCCAGGTCGAGGGGGAACTGCTGTAGCAATCTATGGGTTTCTTCCAGAGCAGCCTCTCGCTCACTCACTCTGCAAAGGAACAAACGTCCAGATGCAGTTCTCCTCAGTTATCGAAGGGTGTACCCAGGGACCCCCATGAAAAGAGCAAAGATAAAGGGACTAAATTGTAACGTACCAACAAAGGGGTGGGTTATTGCTAAAAGTCCTCTTAAAAGCAACACCAACTATACCTGTGTGTGCATATGTGTGTATACACACACGCAGACATATATATGTACATATATACGTACGTATACACACACGCCAGAAGAGCTGTTTATTCATCATGGGTGAGGTTTTTGCTGAGCGTACAGTCTTCTACAGTGTAGTTTCGGTGTTCCTACTGGATGTGTGTGTGTGTATGTGTGTGTGTGTACATATATGTATATATATATATATACATATATGTATATGCATACACACACACACATACACACACACTTTGGACTTTGGGAAGTTCACATAAGAGCTTGCAAAAACAATCTTTTTGTAACTTGGTAGTTTTTACTGGTCAATTGTGACACCTTATTTTCATATGCTGCAAAATCGTAAAGCTCATCTTTATAGATAAAGCCCCCAAATCCCTACACCATGGTTATCTTTGACGTCACCTGAGGCAGAACATCAGGATTAGGTAGGCAAGGAAGAAGCTCAAGAAAATGCAAAGCTAGAACAGAAAGTTGAACAACGGAGGGAACCAGACAGAGAAGGGGACTGCAGGGCAAAGGAGAATAGAAAGAAGAAAGAAAAGTAGAAAAATGACACATTTCATAGAAACCATGGCACAAAATATCATTTTGCATAACGCTACTGTGTTCTGCAAGTTCCAACTATGGTGTTAGCTTTATATTTCATTATCTGATGGTCACACAACTTGGAATATTCTCCTCAAGAAAAATCTCATGTGTAAGGGAAAAAGTAGAGCCTAAAAACCTGACAGATCTGGGTTCAAATCCCACTATTCCCTCCCGACTGTACACTCTGTATCAGGGTTACTCAAACATGTTCGTTCCCTTGGCCCACATCCTATTCCCTTTCTTCTCATCTTTTGGAAGGGGTGAACCAAATTCCCCAATGATACACAAATCTAAAAAAAAATTCATATTTTCTGATTTTATATACATATACATATATATACATATGTATATATATACACAGTATATATGTATATATGTATACATAGATGTATATACATATGTACATATATATACACACATATACATATATACATATATATACATATATATATACATATATAT